TGACTACACTGGCTAGAATCCCCAGTACAATGTTAATTAGAAGCAGATGTGAATTTCATATATATATATTTTATTTATTTATTTATTTATTTATTTATTTATTTATTTATTTATTTATTTATTTATTTTAGTCTGCCTGGTGGGAAAAAATAGGCACTATTCCCTTTGTCTGAGTGTTGGATACCATTTCCTTTAATCCTTTCAGATGGTTTTTTACCTGTCCCTGGGTAGCTACATCATAGGTATGTGTTGATCTGTTGGAGGAGGAAACTGTAGATCTCTGGGATCCTCTCTTTAGGAGCTGTGGCTGCTTTGGTTTCCCCAGTTTCTCATCTCCATCTTCTCAGCATAGGGAGTTGACTGGTTTCCTCTTGGGTTTCCCCTTCTCCCTTTGCTGTGGTCTAGAAACTCTCTCAGGGCAGTAAAGAGGTATGGTTATAGGGTTCACTTCTTTTGTTTCTTATCTGTCAGAAATTACTGTTCTTCATTGTCTGATGTCCCATGTCTTAAAAACCACAGCTTCATTTATTATAGCTGTTTCTGTTTGTTTGAGGCAGGATGTTAAATCTTGTCCCTGTTACTCTACCTTGGTCAGAAGTGTAAGTTCAAAGCTTTGTCTGATTCCTTCTTATCTTGTAAGGATTCACTTAAATGTTTCCTCCTCAGGCCATTCCCTAACAACACTCTCAAAAATAGGTCCAACTTTTCCACATCTAATTTTTCTCTTTCATAGGATTGCTTTCTTTTTTCAACTGTAATTGTATATCTATGAATTTCTTTATATGTTTTCTCTTATAAATTGAGAGAAGAGACTATTTCATTCATCATTATATATCTACTGCCTAAAAAATGTTTTACACAGAGAATGCTTAATAAATATTTTTTAAATAAATGGACTTTTCCCATTCATTGTTTACCATAATTTTTGCTAGTTTTTGTTCCTTGAGGCATTCCTCTTATTCTTTGTTTTACTCCTCCTCCATTCTTGACTTTCTCTATTCATTTTTTTTTAAAGTAAATTTATTTTATTTATTTATTTTTGGCTGCGTTGGGTCTTTGTTGCTGCGCATGGGCTTCCTCTAGTTGCAGCAAGTGGGGGCTACTCTTCGTTGCGGTGCACAGGCTTCTCATCATGGTGGCTTCTCGTTGTGGAGCATGGGCTCTAGGCTCATGGGCTTCAGTTGTGGCATGTGGGCTCAGTAGTTGTGGCTCATGGGTTTAGTTGCTCCGTGGCATGTGGGATCTTCCCGGACCAGGGCTCGAACCTGTATCCCCTGCATTGGCAGGCAGATTCTTAACCACTGTACCACCAGGGAAGCCCGCTCCATTCATTTTTGAAAATGTTTATTTGCCTCTCTTTGCTAGTTTTCTCTTCCCCTTTTCGTTCAATTTTTCTTTATGTTATTGATTTGTATTTCCAGGATCTGTTATGACTCCCCACACTCTGAACAAATTATGCAGTGAAAGAGAGAAAATGTCTGTAGATATAGGACTGAAACTTTCCAAAGGATTCCCCAATGCATAACTAGAAATTGATGCATAAGCACATTTTCTGACAATGTTCTACCTTAAGCATACCTTCCAAACCTCCTTTGGTTCAAATGGTATATTATCAATTTTTAACTAGCAGAATTTGTCATTATAACAAGTAGAAAGGGCACTAGGTGATGAGGCAGCTGACTGGATGTTAGCCCTAAATTCTTCCATAGATTTGTTGTATTCTGGAAAGGTTATTTAACCTGTGATGTGGTTTCATCTTCTATTATAATAATAATGTCTAATATTTATAGAAGTGCAATTACAAACACTAATCTTGAAAAGTTCCAAAAGTCTCTAAGGGGAAAGTAGGGATTATGATTTTTATTTTATATATGAGAAAAAAGAAACTCAGAGCAGTTAAATTACTTGCTTAAGATTATAAATGTAATGAGTAGTCAATAAGAAGAAAAGGCAGAACTTGATATAAACCTTCTCACCCTATGTCTCTTGCTCTTTCCAAAGCATTTCTTTGCATCCACAAATCATAGTCCCATGGAAGACAGAGAACATCTTTTATGGCCTTCTGACGACTTGATTTTACTCCTGTCTTGACACTTTAATTCTTTGTTTAGAAGAAACTATGATTTCTTTTGCAAAATTCCAGTGAACCCAGAAGCCATGTCTACTCTCATTTATCAAAACTGAAAAGTCTGCTGGCTATTCGTGTGAGCAAAAATAGTCTCCTGTCATGCTCTATCTATCTCACTACCATCATCATTGACTTGCTGAGCTCATACTTGTGTTGGGTGTAGAGGATAATAACAATTTTAGATATGGTCTTCAGGTTCTTATCATGCATTTATAAAGGTAGAACATATGCATAAAAATACAAACAAATCTAAGTACCAATTAAATGGTTCAGACACTACTGTATAGAAGCCTGTACACCTGTAGGCACTATAGACATTTAAATTAAGGAATTGGTGCAAAGGGCTCTAATGGCAGCAGAAAAGGTTTACTATAGGGAGTGAAATCTAAGGAAAGGTTCATTTATAAGTAAAGATACATACACTGGCTTAAGAGGAGTGTTTTTATAGCAGTAGTAGAAAATTCATTTGAAGATGCAGATAAGAATTATATTTTAGAGTACCCTGAATGAAGGTTTAAAATCTTGGCTTTTTTATTCTGAAGGCAACATAAGATTATTGAAGTAATGAACTTTAATATCATGGTTGATATTGTAGAATTCAGATTAACTAAGAGCCTGCTCCTTATCCTCAGAATCCAACTTCTTTTTACTATAAAAGCATTATGTGTTTATTATAGAAATACCATAAAATACATTAAAAGAAATTTATAAAATCTACAATCTCATGTTCCAGAAACTTTTTCTTTCTGTACAGATGGATGCATTCTCAAACACACACACACACACACACACACACACACACACACACACACACACACACACAGTAGGGGGATTCTACCTTGAGAAGGCTAAACTAGGATTCTGAAGTCTGAGTATGTGTGTTAAACCACCTGGAAACTATTTTCAGGAAAGGTTTTGGCTGAAACCGTTTAGGTGGTAGGGGATGGGTTACGAAGAATAGGGGAGAGGTCAGCAAATTTATGTGAGGAGCAAGACAGTAAATATTTAGGTCTCATGGGCCATATGGTTTCTTTTTTTCTTTCAGGTGGGCAATTTTTTTTTTAACATCTTTTCTTTTTTTGGCTGTATGCGGGCCTCTCACTGTTGTGGCCTCTCCCGTTGTGGAGCACAGGCTCCAGACGCGCAGGCTGAGCGGCTATGGCTCACGGGCCCAGCTGCTCCGCAGCATGTGTGATCATCCCGGACCAGGGCACGAACCCATGTCCCCTGCATCGGCAGGCGGACTCTCAACCACTGCGCCACCAGGGAAGCCCTTAACATCTTTATTAGAGTATAATTGATTTACAATGGTGTGTCAGTTTCTGCTTTATAACAAAGTGAATCAGTTATACATATACATATGTCCCCATATCTCTTCCCTCTTGCATCTCCCTCCCTCCCACCCTCCCTATCCCACCCCTCTAGGTGGTCACAAAGCATCGAGCTGATCTCCCTGTGCTATGAAGTTGCTTCTCACTAGCTAGCTATTTTACGTTTGGTAATGTATATATGTCCATGCCACTCTCTAACTTTGTCCCAGCTTACCCTTCCCCGTATCCTCAAGTCCATTCTCTAGGGGCCATATGGTTTCTGTTGCAACTACTCAACTCTGCCATTGTAGTTTGGAAGCAGCCAGAAACAATATGTAAATGAATGAGTTTGGCTGTGTTCCAATATAACTTTTATGGAAATTTTAATTATGGAAACTAAAATTTCATATAATTTTCAGGTGTCAAGAAATGTTATAATACCTAATAAGTTTCTGTTTTAGTAACAGCAGAAGCCAACACAAATATGTGTTCTATCACAAGGCACCAGGATTAGAGGCAGTGGGAAGCACTGAAAAAGGGGGTGCTCAGAGTAGAAAACTAAAGAATAGTTCTGAGCAAAAATAAGTCACCCTCTGCACCCCAGAAAAATTTTAAGGCTTTCACAGGTGTTGACGTCCTTTAGCTAATGGAACACAAAATTTTAGGTTTTTATAAGTGATGTAATTCCATTAAGTATGTACAAGCTGGTGAGGTGAGGTCTGAAGAAATTTAGGATACAAGCAACAAACATGTATGTATCCATATATATATTTTATAAAAATATGAGATTGTCTTATATGTATTAAGTTCTTTTTAAACATATTGATTAACATATTATATACATCTTCTCATGTCAATAAATATTCACCCATAATACCACTAGTATCATCTGCACCTCCAATCATACTCTCACTCCCCACTCTTTCTGCACCATTTAATAGAATATCTGACACACCATCTTCAGATCTGCATTTGCTACCATGGTAAATGTTAATATTAGTGACTTTTATTTGTGACCTTAATTCCCCAGTTTCACAGTGTTTGTTTCCTAAAATCACTATAAAAATGTGTGTTTGTATATTCTATTTTAATGAAAAGCATCAGAAATGCTACCTCCAAGAAATCTAATTACATTAGAAAAAGCAAGTATTGTGGCCCTGTTTAAAATAATTTTATAAAATGGCCAAAGGCATAAGGTTTCCAAAATAAGCTTTCAATTATTATTGATGCTAGAATATCAGGTTTATTATTTACAAGGACACCATGGCTGGCTCTTCCTCCTCAAAACAAAGAAGACAATGGCTCTTGGACTAATAGCACATGGTACACATGGTCTGAAATAAACACTGAAACAATGAATATGGGTAAATGGGTATATAACTATTTGAAATATTTATATAATTTTAATTAAAATTATCAGGTTGCATTTCCATAACAAAACAAAAATTTGCATGCATGCTGAATGTGTTTTTAAAAACACATTACTGAGCACAGATATATGGATTTAACTCAAGCATTATGACTTAAAAAAAAGCTATTTGCCTAACCTTTATTGAACTTACTCTGGTAGGAAGTACGGATCCGTTTCGTTAAATCAGGATAAAAGTTAGACAGGCCACGCATGCAAAAGTTGTCTTTGGAACATGCCAGAACACCAGCATCAGCAGCAGGCAGAAGAAAGAGAGAAAAATAGTCTAAAGTGAAAGGAAGTGATATCATACCAGAATATAGAACAGCCAAGATGAAGAAATTGCAGCAAGTTTAGGTAATCAAATTAGAAAGGAGATATTAAAAAATTAAATCAATTAGAAAGTGAGGTGATAGATGAATGATGAGAATGCTGTAGTAATTTTATTTAATCAAATATCTTTATAAAAATAAATGGCATATTTCTCTTTATGCTTTTTACATAAACTTATTTAGCTAATAAATAATATGTATGTTACCTCATAAATATAAAAATGGTTGTCTTTAACCTTCAGTATTAACAAGAAAGCTTAGGGATTTTAGTCTTTTATTTTAATAGCAAAGTGAGTACTCATTATATATACTAAATACAAGCAGAGTTTACAACTTCATCACAGTTTTTCCTAATTTTAAAGTCATTAAAATTCTGAGCTCTAATCATAATTTTTGAGGCTCAGTAAGTTTAAATTAAATAATAATTGTATTACCTCTGTCAAAATATACACTTTGTCATCCCACTGTGTATATCCAGCAAGTAATTTAGATGTTGTCTTAGGATCCACAGCTTTTCTGATTGAATTAGTGTTTCAGCATGCAAACAGTGCCTACTATCCCCTAACATCTTTCTATCAAGAGTCCATGAACTTTCAAAAGTCAACTTTCTCTTTCTCAGTCGTGAGGGAATCTCATGGTACATTCATGCACAATTTCTCTTCTTCTGCCTTTCTTTCAAAAGCCAGTAGTGGTAGAAGCAGAACCTATCTAATTTTACATTGCTAGCACTCATAAAATATTGCTAAAAGTTGAGATCCCTAACAAAAAACAAAGAAACTCCAGGTTCTGAAGGAAAACTTTTGTGCTCCTGAAAAGGGTCTAAATTAGCAATTTGGAAAGGGTATAGGTTTACAAAAGAAAGATTAACAAAGAAGGAGAATTTCAGTATATCAAGTAATTTTTCATTAGTTCAAAAGGAAACTTCATTTATTACCACATTCAGATGTTAAATTTGGCACATTTGCTATTTAGAAAATAACACCTACCATAATGCACTCTTTTTACTTTAAAATAGTCTTTACGTGGGTATATTTAGTAAAAGTGTCAATATTCAACTGATTATTTTAAAAAACAGTAGAAAATTTAAAAAACTGTATAAAATAACACATAATACTATAGATGCATTTCCACCTGCAAACCTTTTAGCTCAGCCAATATTTTACCAACTAAACTATGTCAGTGGACAGAAAATATACAAAATGTTGGCAATGTTTGCAAAGCCAACTATTTGGATATATACTGAAATTTTAGTACAACTTTGGATAATTTGGCCTATCAAGGTTTGGTGTTATACGTAGAAAGTATTCTGGCTTGTATTTTAGTAATAACTTTATATGTTTTTCTAATTTGTCCTGTCAAGAAAAATATCATCTTTCATAGCATTTTAAAATGTTAATAATGTTTACTGCATTTGTGAAAATACCTCCAAGAAAGTCACCATCCAACAAGGAAAGGTGACAGCCAAAAAATGGAGTTACTTGAAAAACTTAAAACTAGTGAATGACCTTAAGTTATATTTTTAAAGCTATCATATATTAGAAGAAAACTATCCCAGTTAACACAACCATTGCAAGCAGCTTTTTCAACTAGATAACCTGATTTTCTTAGCATTTTAATATTTAATACCTTCTTTTGTTATTTTTTAGGAATTCAACTTAAGAAACTTGAGATCCTTCCTAATGTTAACAACAAATTGAAGTTTAAACACCTCCTTTACCCTTTCAAAGATTCTTACTATGTTTCTGACCAATTTTACTTACATGGTATTGTAAAGTGTGTTGACTTTATATTGCTGTGCATTTGAATAGCATCACAGAAGAAAGACAAGAAATCTAAAGGTAAGAAAACAGGTGAACTAATCAAGTTCATAACGATCTTATCTCCTACCTGCAATGAACTGCTTGTTTTTTCGAGGAGACCGTGGTTGCCGTTGGTATAGGTCACTTGATCTATATAGGTCAATGGTCCCCATGCTTAACAGTACTGTCTTCTGTATAAAATCCACCACAGCCAACCCATTGCAGTTCCCAAACGCAACTCTGAGAGGAAAAAAAAATGCAACTAGAATGTATTACGCCAACCATTATTATTTTTATCTCTGAATTTAAAAATAAATAAGATTATTGGAAAGTAATGCTTTAGGGTCAGGCAGTGACTGGTGAAAGTCAGAAAGGATATGGTGCCTTTACATAGGATAGGTTAACCTTATATAATAGCCACGACCACTGCAAAAAATAGGAATGACCTGCAATCATATTTTCTCATATATTTTATCATGTAAGTAGTCATTACTCAACTTGTTCTTTAACTTGATTTTATGTTTTTACAGATGAATCATATAAAATCTTTTTGCTATGAAGGGGGGAACAGATCAAGAAATGTCACACTTCAATAGCAACAGCTGCTTAGGTATGCAATTAGGTGACTTTTTCAAAAATAATAATTATTAGGTTCGAAATTAATTCTCTTCTTAAACAAAGTGTATACTTAACACAAGATTTTACATAAAGATTAACTTTATATATCAAAGATTTTGACACCATAGTAGATATGAACAGAGATCTAACTCATTCACAAAAATTTAAAAATTTCTCAATCTTTTGTTCTTTATTTTGTCCCATTTACTAAAATACAAAGGCCATTTGATTAATTTCTTAACTAAATCTCCTGAAAAATTAAAATGGATCTCCTAAGCAGGCATTTTGGTCACCTTAACAATTGGCATACACTAAACTCTCTTTTTGCTCCATTTACAACATGCCCTCTAGCTGAACAATTGTAAATCTGCTTTTTGTTTCCTGAAGTAAATACAAAATAGTTGTATAAAAGTTGTTTTGCTCATTTTATATAATTCCACGTTATTACTTAGATTGAATATGACTGAAAAATCATCCGCTTACTCTAAATCTAGTTATTTCTATTCCACCATATTGCCTTCCTCACGAAAAGTGAAAAGTTTTGCTACCATACTATACTAGATGTTTTGCTATTTTACATAAAGTTCTACATCTTCCAGGAAGACAGACTCTGGAAAATTGGAAAAAACATTGTTATGAAAGTCAGAAGATCCTATCTCATCATTTATAGGTTATGCGATTGAGAAAAATTAATGAATCTTGTGAGGCCTTAGCTTCTTTACTTTGTAATGAGAATTATAACGCTAGATTTATCTAGTTCACAGAGCTTTTATTAGTATCAAGTCAGAAATGTTATTAAAGTACTTTGAAAATTTTCAACACAAAAGTAGAACTGATCTTAATATTATTATAAGTGCAATATTATACATACTATATATTGTAGCAAATTAATATCTCTAAACTTTTAATGTTAAAAAGTAATTAATTACTTCTGCTTACAGGTATGAGAGAGTTCCCAAATGCAGTACTGAGAAGAGAAAAAAAGGCAACTAGAATGTATGACACCAACAAAAATATTTTTCATTTTGAATTAAAAATAAGAATACTGGGGACTTCCCTGGTGGTGTGGTGCTTAAGAATCCACATGCCAATGTAGGGGACACGGGTTTGATCCCTGGTCCGGGAAGACCCCATGTGCCGGGGAGCAACTAAGCCTGTGAGCCACAACTACTGAAGCCTATGTGCCTAAAGCCCGTGCTCCGCAACAAACTCCACCGCAATGAGAAGCCTGTGCACCACAATGAAGAGTAGCCCCCACTTGATGCAACTGAGAAAGCCTGCATGCAGCAACAAAGACTCAATGCAGCCATAAATAAATAAATAAGCAAGTAAGTAAATAAGTAAGAATCCTGGAAAGTTATACCTTAGGTTTGGGGAGGTTAGGCAATTGTTGTTGAAAAGTCAATATGGATACTGGATTTAATCTCCTACCTTAACTAGGAAGCTGAACAAAATATATTAAACGGCAGTCTTCACATATTGGTCAACAGGCAACATAGAATAAGATGAGAGAAGGATAACAATCAAAGCAAACTTTAGTTTAAACTAAGTGTTCTAGCTTACTGAATGGAGAGATTTCCCAGGAAACCGAAACTCAAGGAGAGATCAGAAGTCTCACCAAACCAAGGAGACAGAAATCAGAGTCTAATGTGGCAAAAACAGGATTTATGAGGTAAAATACTAGAAAGAAGAGAGCTGCATAGATAGAATACACCAGAGATTTATAGAATGGTTCTCTTGAAATTTTGTCTGGGTACTGATCTGTGCATCCATGTGAATAAACTACCCCAGGCTTGGGAACAAACCACCAAAAGGATAAAGCAGAACAATTCACAAAGCTCAAACAAGGCTGAGAATATTTCATGTCACTACCAGCCAAACTACTGAGATCTCCAACTACATGGGAAAACAGATATAGGGATGTCACTTCAGTAGTGGGAACAAATTAGCCATAAACTAAAGGCTTTTCTAGACCCACCCTAAAAAAGCTTAAAAACAATGATTCTAAGTAACATAACTTCCTTCCAGATAACTATCTATTGAAAAGAATCCAACAAAATATCACCATAAATGTAAAATTCACAATGTTAACTATATGAAAAGTAGTAGGTATCAAGAAAAAGACTGATAACCAGAGGAAAAAAGTAAATCACCAGAAACATACCTAGAAATAAAAGAGATGATAAAATTAGCAGAAAAGGATATTAAAAATGCTTTGGAAAATATATTCCAGATATTCAAGAAGGCTGAGGAAAACATGAATGTGATAAAGTGAGAATTAGAAGATATTAAAAAGACTCAAATTTCGAGAGATAATTTAATCATTTCTGATATATTTTTATCTGAATATTAGACATCATAGCAGAGAAGAATAGTGAACTTGAATAAATAGCAATAGAAAATTTCCAAAAAGAAACATGAGAGAGAAGAAAACCCCAAAGCATCACTGACCCCTGGGACAAAATTGAGCAGTCTAGAATAAATGTAATTGGAGCCTCAGAAAGGAAGATCAGCCAGCAGAAAACATATTTAAAGCAATGAAGCCAAAATAGCAAAATGATTGATAGCCAAACTAACTTGGTAACAGTAAACCTAAAGATCCAAGAAACTCACTCAAAGGATCCTAAGCAGAATAAACATAAAGAAAAATACATCATCACATTGTTGAAAACTAGTGATGAAGAAAAAATGTTAAAAGCAGCCAGAGAGAAAAGATATATTTCCTACACAGAGGAAAAGATAAGAATGATGAAATCTACTCATTGGAAACTACACAGTCCGAAATGACATGACATCATCTTGAAAGCAACAAATGATTATAATGGGTCAAAATAAAATTCTATACTCAGCACATATCTTTCAAATGGTGAAATACAGATTTTTACTCATGAATAAAAATCTGAGGGACTTCATCACTAGGAGACAGGTACTATAAGAAATAATAAAGGAAGAGATTGGTTCAAAATGGTGGAGTAGAAGGACATGTTCTCACTCCCTCTTTCGAGAACACCGGAATCACAACTAACTGCTGAACAATCATCGACAGAAGGACACTGGAACTCACCCAAAAAGATACCCCACATCCAAAGACAAAGGACAAGCTGCAATGAGATGACAGGAGGGGTGCTATCACAATAAAATCAAACCCCATAACTGCTGGGTGGGTGGCTCACAAACTGGAGAATACTTATACCACAGAAGTCCACCCACCAGAGTAAAGGTTCTGAGCCCCACGTCAGGCTTCCCAACCTGGGGGTCTGGCAATGGGAGGAGGAATTCCTAGAGAATCAGACTTTGAAGGCTAGTGGGATTTGATGGCAGGACTGGGGGAAACAGAGACTCCACTCTTGGAGGGCACACACAAAGTAGTATGCACATCGGGACCCAGAGGAAGGAGCAGTGACCCGATAGGAGACTGAACCAGACCTACCTGCTAGTGTTGGAGGGTCTCCTGCAGAGGTCGCGGGCAGCTGTGGCTCACCAAGGGACAAGGATAATGGCAGCAGAAGTTCTGGGAAGTACTCCTTGCCGTGAGACCTCCCAGAGTCTGCCATTAGCCCCACCAAACAGCCGGGTTAGGCTCCAGTGTTGGGTCACCTCAGGCCAAACAAGCAACAGGGAGGGAACCCAGCCCCACCCATCAGCAGACAAGTGAATTAAAGTTTTACTGAGCTCTGCCCACCAGAGCAACAGTCAGCTCTACCCACCACCAGTCCCTCCCATCAGGAAACTTCCACAAGCCTCTTAGATAGCCTCATCCACCAGAGGGCAGACAGCAGCAGCAAGAAGAACTACAGTCCTGCAGCCTGTGGAATAAAAACCACATTTACAGAAAGATAGACAAGATGAAAAGGCAGAGGGCTATATACCAGATGAAGGAACAAGATAAAACCCCAGAAAAACTAAATGAAGTGGAGATAGGCAACCTTCCAGAAAAAGAATTCAGAATAATGATAGCAAAGATGATCCAGGACCTCAGGAAAAGAACAGAGGCAAAGATCCAGAAGATGCAAGAAATGTTTAATAAAGACCTAGAAGAATTAAAGAACAAACAGATGAACAATACAATAGCTGAAATGAAAAATACACTAGAAGGAATCAATAGCAGAATAACTGAGGCAGGAGAACAGGTAAGTGACCTGGAAGACAGAATGGTGGAATTCACAGCTGCAGAAAAGAATAAAGAAAAAAGAATGAAAAGAAATGAAGACAGCCTAAGAGACCTCTGGGACAGCCTCAAACACAACAACATTCGCATTATAGGGGTCGCAGAAGAAGAAGAGAGAGAGAAAGGACCCGAGAAAATATTTGCGGAGATTATAGTCGAAAACTTCCCTAACGTGGGAAAGGAAATAGCCACCCAAATCCAGCAAGTGCAGAGAGTCCCATACAGGACAAACCCAAGGAGAAACATGCCGAGACACATAGTAATCAAATTGGCAAAAATTAGACAAAGAAAAATTACTGAAAGCAGCAAGGGAAAAATGACAAATAACATACAAGGGAACTCCCATAAGGTTAACAGCAGATTTCTCAGCAGAAACTCTACAAGCCAGAAGGTAGTGGCCCAATATATTTAAAGTGATGAAAGGGAAGAACTACAACCAAGATTACTCTACCCA